ATTTCCTCATACGTTTTTTATATAGCAAAAATAGTCTCTCTAATTTTATTTTTTTTTTTAATAATTATCCTAATAATGTATCATGCTCTTGGCATTATCTAGGATCAACGACGTGGACGTGGCAGGATACACGCATACATTGTACATGCACTTACATAAAATTAAGAAGAGTCAAAATTTGAAATTCGTATCTTAATTTCCTTTTGATAAAGTTTCCTATACAATATAAATTGTTTCTGAACAACTAATTTAAGTTATACTATTATACGAATTTAAAAGAAAAAGTTGTCCGCGTCGCGACTATTCTTCGCGGAGATATGTGAAATTTGAATTTAATCTTTTCTAACGCTGATTTTAAATGATTTTGCTTTTAACCTTTACCTTTAATTTGCCTTTTTTCGATCTCTGTACAATTTTTTTTCACTGACTGAGTTATTCAGTTGAACCAAAAAAGGTCATTTTTATTTCAACGTTGAATAACTCGGTGAAAAAAAATCATACAGAAGTCTATAAAAAAATAAATTAAAGGTAAAGATTCTTTCGAAAGCTGTAAACCACATTTGTGCACAATTTTTATTTCACTCTGTGGAACTTCGTAAATTTCGTAAAAAATTTTGAAATCTGATGCATATTTGTTTATACTTGTATAGCTTGTATGTGAAATATCAGTAATAACCGGGATCAGTAAACTATAGAGGTAAGTAGAATAATCGAAGCTACGTTATTAATGAAATCGCGCGAGACACATATAGTATGTAAATGTGTCTGAACATACAGCAGCAATCTGACTACCGCTCAATCTGCTGTGAGATCTTGGCGTCTATATTAGAAATTACGCTATAATTTAAAAAAATCGCACACATAAATGAATATTTTTATGAATATTTCTTAAAGTTTTTGTTTTACAATCGTACATAATTGTCTGAGATATTTTATTTCCATTTAGATAGTAAATGTAATTCTTACTTAATAAAGTTCAACAGATTTTTTTTGTTTATCTGTCTTTGTTATTATATAATGTTAATGTTTTTTAAAAATGAATGGATGGGGCTAGTAAGCTAACCACAACACGGAGCTATAATGATTAATTTAGTGACAATTCTGATAGTGCCTACTCTTAAAGTTCTTGGAATGAAATCTCACTATAAAAGAGTGAAAATACAGTCAATTTTGAAAAAGAGTGAAAATGTTTTACTTCTTGAAAAAGAATGACAATATTTCATTCCTCTCAAAGAGATTTATCTCAGTGGTATTGAAAATGTTATAAATTTGTTCCCTCACGTCTAATCTCGATAAAACTAGGCTCATTCGTGTTTTTACTCGAAACAAACAAATTTAGTAAAAAAAAGCATTGTTCTATCTTGCGAATCGAAATATTAATCGTTAAAGTTTTTTAAATGAGAAAACCTGTCATTCGCTACGCCCTGGTAAAAACATTGATAGAGAAAAATCCTATTGTTTTGAATATGATTTCTAAATTCACTAATTTGAATCAGATCTTATAGGAATCTTGTATAAATCTTATAAAATCCAATAAAATATAATAGGATTCATATCCAATCAATCATGATGCTCTCGTTAGGTTAACAAGAGAAAATGATACTTTACAGAAAAATGATAAAATTGATAAAAATCCTATAGTTCTCAATCATTCTCTATCAAATTTTTTACCAGGACGATCTCACTCTATTCCATACATAGTTGTATTTTCACTCTCTTTGAAATTTCACTCAAAAGAATTTAGAGAATATTTTTTATTTTAAATGCATTTATAACGCAATAATTTTTGTAGTTTTAATGAATTTTAATAATAAAAATATGCAATAATAGTTAAATTATATGTATAAGAATTTTTTCATGCATGAATATGTATAAATATGTATAAACATTCATAATATAATAAATTATATATGTTTATGATCATTTATACATAAACATGTATAAATATTCATAAACATGTATAATTGTATATGAAATATGACCATATATGTTCATATATCCTTCTTTCTTTTGTAAAATTACTTTTAAGTGTAATAGAAGTAATAATGTGAAAACTTTAAGAATAATTAAAAGGATAATTTTGTGAACATGTATAGACACCTTCTAAATGAAGGGTATCTTATTACATTTATTATAATTGTAATTCGGATAACGATAAATTCGGATTATTCGGATAAATTGTTACTATCTAATAACAAGGTATCTTGTTATACTTTTTTTATTTTATAAATATGTTTGTGTTGAAAATGCATTTTTATAAAAATTTTATAAACAGGTTTATGTTTAAAATACATTTTTATAAAAGATTTGTTGATATATAAAGATTAACCTTCATTTTAATAATGTTAATCAAATTATCCAATACCATTAGTCACCTTATCCCGAGGCTAGTTCAATCAGATGAATACATTAGAAAATACATTTCTTTTCATATTAGTTATCAGTTCTTTCTTATTATTAAAATACTATTAGATAGTCAAATGTATGTAGTAATTGATGTAGAATTCATTTTTTAGTCATAAGTCTCTTAATTTCGTCTGTAAAAATTCGAAACTGAAAAATGAGTCTATTGTCCCTGGTCTTCCCTAAATTCACTAATTTATTTTCTGAAATACCGGTCTGAAAAGTAGAGATTTCAAGTTTAAAATACTTTTTTATCGATTTCGATACAATCATTTTTTACGAAGTTATTCTATCACAAAATTTGTCTATTTTTGCAAGGTGGAACAGGTGTTCCGTTAATTTTGTTGACGAGTGTGTGTGTGCTGTAATTAGAAGTACAATACTAACAGCATTTGCGATACAGTGTTTACCTGAGTTTAAACTTACTTTGTTGAAATTCCATGCACAAAAGATTGAATATTGCAGCAATATTACAATATTGCAGATTGTATTGTAACATTACAGAAATGTAAATTAACAATGTGTCTGCAAAATGTCAGTAATATGCCTGTAATGTTTCAGAAACGTTGCAAAATTGTAATTCTTTATTTATTACAATAATAATAATATAAAAATATAATTTTTTCTAATATTTATGTAGTGCAGTCTTTTAATTTTAATTTTAACAGCCATTGTTATGATATATAATAATAAATATAATAATTAATATAATCCATTTTTACATTTAAATAATAAATTTATTAATCTATTATTTGACGGTCATTTCATTAACTAAGTTTTATATTTATTTTAAATACGAAATCAAAAGATTTTGTATAATATCGAATTTGGTACAATCAATGCTTCATTATCGGATAAGACGAAGTAATTAAGCTGCTAAAAACGATTTATCGAAATATTATTAGGTGTACAAATAAGTTTCCGCCGTTTTTAATCAAAAATTAAGCATTTATTGTGAAAGAACGATACATAATGTTTTATTGAAAGTATTGTCCATCGCTAGCCACTACTTTTTGCGTTTGGCACGAATCTTCATTCAATAATGCTTCCAATTCCGCGTCTTCGTACATTTTCGGCCTTTCGCTACATTCTTTGTCTTCGACGTCAAATTCACCGTTCTTAAATTTTTGAAACCATTCACGACAACTTCTCTCACTTAAGGCAGCCTCACCATATGCTTCTACGAGCAATCGATGAGCCTCAGCTGCAGATTTCTTCAAATTAAAGAAGTAAATCAAAAGTTCCCGCAAATGACGCTTATTCGACTCAAAACTCGGCATTTTCGCACAAAAAAAAATATATGATGCTAATACAAAATCGCTAGTATTTCAAGATTATGTTGTTGACAGATCCAACCTTACGATATAATTTATTTTACATCAGACAATTTTAACCATAGCTTGCTAGTGGCGCCGTCTTTTGTCAAACGGCGGAAACTTATTTGTACACCTAATAATTATGTGATCGATGATGTATTAAGTATTTGTATGCCTGATGTGAACGTCAGAATAAAGCAGCGCCCGAACTTTATTGATAAATTTCATACCGTCATTTCTTAATCGATTTCAATTGACTCGGAGTGCCTTTGAATTAAAAAGAATCACTGCGATTAACTTAATCCATGATAAACTTACCAAGCGACTGTATTATTATTTTAATGTGGATAATATTTGTAGTTTGTTCGAAGCATATACATACATCCTTTATCGTTACAAATAAATTTATCCTTCAAAATTAATACTGCATTTATTGGAATATTTTATGGTTTTATCATAAAAAAATTGCTTTACAGAAAGCACATATCACTAGAAATGCGATTTGTAAAAAAATTAAAGTTAATGAGATATTGGGTCATCTAAAAAGTATCCGCGGGTTTTTGTCACTAGATGATGTTAATGGTCAACCCATCTAGTGACAAAAAACCGCGGATAACTTTTAGACGACCCATATGTACAGAAAATAGCTTTTATTTTAGAATCTTCGTAAGAAATTTATCCAAATACATTACATTGCAATATTGCTGGAAATTTTCGTTGCAATATATTATAACAAAAAGTGAACATCTTAACACCGTTGGAATCTTGCAATAATGATTCAGCAATATTTCATAACAACCATGCAAAATTACAATGTTTCGATGAAATTATTCTGCAATGTTTCTGCATTCTTTCTGTGCTGCATGAGATATGTATTGAGTTTTATGACTGTTTCTTGAAATAGGATTATTCTTTTAGATCTAAAAATATAATACAATCAGCGCGAAGAAAACTTCGAACAATTGCAAAATAAAAGTTTTGCTAAACGCAGTCATTAGGCGCATTGACAAACCGGCTAATCTGCTCGTCGAACAAATGAACATAATTGATTGTTACTTATAGATCCAATCATGTACAATTGCTCGGTAAGCATGCCTAGCCGCTTTATCGTCTTGAACTCGTGCGATGTGTTTATTTCCAAGTCCTCTTATTTTTCGGCGAGAATTCCCTGTCGCACAAAGGAGATTTTCTTCATAGAAATCTCGGTTTATCGCTTGGCCCTGATTTCCATATCCCCTCTCACCTCACGCGCGTGTAACAGAAATATTCGCGCAACGTGGAGCCAGATGCTCCACGTCTCTCGCTCCACGATACTTTAAAATTCGAGACGTGAAAAAAACACTGCAGCAGACACTTATGAGACATATTCAAACTATACATATATCAATATTTATATTCCGTCTAAGAATAATACCTCCATCTTTTGACCTTCTGTAAGTAGTTTCTACTTCTTCATATCGTTTCTATATCTTCAGTGATTAAGTCCAATTAAACGCTTTAATTCTGTAATACAAAACGCGCGTTATAATGACGGACCAGCAATTAGAAAACTACAAGATCCCAGTTCGTGAATACCTGCGTAAACATTACATACAACCAGAAATATATAATGCAATTTGCAGACAATGTTCGTCAGTAATATTTTATGAACACAAATTTATGAATTTATTCGTTCACTTGAGAAATAAACATTCAGAAGTATTAACAGAAAAACAGTACAGTGATTATAACATTTATTGGGAATGGGATTATTATACTCCAATAACATGCATTAGGGCAATGTGCATATGTTGTAAAATAATAAATTCTACAATGAATAATTTATCGAAACATCTTGATACACACAGGAACGAGTAAGTATACAATATATATATTTTCAACAATTAAGAGAAATAATATAAGGAAGCTTTATCACGGAGTTCTGTGCACAATTGTATCCGATATCATTATCGCGTTTATTATTCTTCTTATCACTCCTTATATAGTTATACAATTTTCAATCCGAAGCCAAACATTGATATGGATGACGCAAGCAGCAGTCCAACCGGCAGTATGACTGTAAAGGATGCGTAACATCAGGAAGCTTCAATACCAATTCTTCTAATTTGACTGATAACACGGTTAGATCAGTTGTTCCTAACGAGTAATTATTCACTTTAAATTTATTTAAATGCCTGCTAACAGATCTTACGAATCAATTTATATTTCTTTTCCTTTCCAAATATAATCTACATCATGTTATGTATAACCTTATTTATTAAGCGTTTTATTAATATTTGTATAGTAACAAATCAATCGCAAATTGTTATTTCAATTTTGTTATACTATTTTATGGTATACAATTTTATATGATACTATATATATAAAATGTCATTACAGCTTTTGTAGCTATATTTTCGCTGGTATTCTGTATTAGGATAAGTCAAGTGTAAAAAATCCGTTGTTTGTATTCGTTACACCGATCATGTGCAATAAATAGTGATTAACTTAAAAAAATGTCGGAAATGTTAAATGTATAAAGACAATTTTATTTTTAACTCTTGTTTGCATAATCAATAACTAAAAAAATTTATGTTAATTGCATGAAGAACAAGTAAATAACAAAAGAACAGGTACATTGTATATAAATACAATAGTATAAAAACAGGTACATCGTTTATAATTATACAATTTACAAACATTTTTCATCATTAGTTTATCTGTATTTATTTGTATTAACTGGGTAAAAAGATATGCTAAATATTAATCTGTGATCAAATTTGTTCCTTCATTTAGTATATATTCATAAATAATGCAATTACATTTTGTTTAGTGCATGCAATGTAATGCACTTGCTTTGGTAAATTGCTTTTGTTAAGCTTACTTTTATTATTTTATGCTATTAATCCAGATATCGTTTAATTTTTGAGGAATAGACATATATATTTATATTTAACTTGTTTTCCTTTTCTTATTTATAATATTTTAGGAAATGAAGTTTATATTTATGAATACACACACATATTTTGTGATTAAATCAGTGTCTACAAAGAACGAATTTAATCTTAAAATTAACCCTGAAAATATGGTAGTTGTAGTACAATACATTGTTTTAAATATTTATGATACAATGCAATGTTTCAAAGATTGATGTTTCAAAGACCATGCACTTCAGTGAAATTTATTTTATATTTTATTGGTAGTTTTATTAGTGATGAGAGACATTAACATAAAACTTTTCGAAATATAAAGTTGCTCCATGGCTATAATATATCTCTAAGATAAATTTCCAAAAAAATTCTCTTCATGAATCATTGTACCTTTTATTTTGCATATAGGATAATATCATATATCCTAACACTAAATTTGAAACAGTTTTATAGTTTTATGTATAAAACCGCAAATATGAATATTTAATTTAATAATTGATAATTAATTACAGATTCTTTCTATTCTAACCGTATATTTAGATTGAAGAGATGCGACTTTTCTTATAATTATCAAGTAATATAATTATAACATTAAATAGTATATTTTATAACTTTAATCTTTTTATCACGATACATATAAATACAGATCCGCAACGAAGACTTCAGAATCAACAGAACATGTTATGGATAGTCCTCTTGAAGATATAGAAAATATAGGAAAAGAACTTCCCGCCGAATTAGAGTTATGCGATACAGAAAAAGAAGTTCCTGGTAGAGAAGAACTTCCTGATAGAGAAGAACTTCCCGAAATGAAAGAACATAATACCTGGTCAATCATCAGATAGTTTTCATAATTTCTACTCTCCTGATCGTGAATGCGAAATAACCTATGATCTTTTAAAAAAAAGAATAATTGATACTATACATTATACAAATCTATTTCTTAATGAGATCCTAACTTCAAAAAATGAAAACTCTGAAGGGAATTGCTATTTTACTGATAAAATGTGACACGTTGACACATTCTTACATACTGCAATTCGATGTCATATATATATACGCATATATACATAAATTTTTATAAAACGATATCGTTTTAATAACATGTTAGTCTAATTCCAACAACGATGTTGTTCTTCTAACCGACTAAACCATATAATTCTCGTATGACAATTACTTTTTTCTTTTTTATAGATTCGAGAATTTTTTATCACAATTAATCTATACATATTAATATGTGTCTGTGAGGTGGAGTTTACGTCGAGAACATGAAAAAATTGTCTTTACAATTTCTTATTTCAGTATGGCGTTCTAGAATTGCTACATCGTGCCAACATTTGCTTCATATAAAAGCTATGCCATTTGTACTTACAAATCAGTGATCTGCAGACTACCAGTTGTTGCAAAGATACAATGTGAAGTTTTTAAAATTGGATTTATAAGTATAATTGAAATTATTCTTATACGAAAATTATGTTTACATGTGCATAAGATATTGATGTATCATATACTATTCTGAACGTAGAGATGCGTCGATGATACGTAAATTGTTTATGTATAAATCCAACTTACACTACGACTACGTTTTTAGAATCCGTTTAAAAAGCATAGAATGTATAACGTATAAAATATATTTTTGGTCTATCCAACAAAAACAAAATAAAAGTTTAAGTTTAAGAAAAAAATTATCAAAATCACAACTAAAAACGCATACGTTAAATGAACCACTACGCCTGAATCGATTACCAAATGATAATTAAATTTAAGTAAATTGTTAACCTTCTTTGTAATGCAAATATAAGACAAATATGTCCAGATATATACATACTTAAAGCTCTATTAATTATGTTGTACGTTAAGTATATAATTATTATTTGTCTAAATTTTTATATAACTTTCATTATTTAATATCTATGAATACTCTATAAGTAGTAGAGCTTTTATATAATGTTTCTTAAATAAATTTATTAATTTAGTTAACTTTTTTATGATCACATTATTCACTGAATATAAAACAATTTCGCCAATTGTATTGATATTAAGTAAATGATTTGTTTGGGGCCAAATGTCACTTTCAGTCAGTTACTCTGGTAAAGGAGTAATTTTTTTCTTCGATTGATTTCGACTTAATTTCCATTCAGTATCATTAATTTATTATATAATTATATCTTCATTTTCGTTATGGCAAAATAAGCAATTTTCAGAAATTCTTTTGCATTTATTTAATATTAAGACAAGAAATTTATCTTTTTCAATATACTGAAAAAAAAAAGATATTCCGTGAATAAATTTGAACAATGACATTTTATGTATCGCTATAAATTTTACGTATGTTATTTACCTTCTGCGAATAATATAAAATAAAGGCACTAAGATATATATACAAAATAGACAAGATGGCTGTTTAGTACTGAAAGGAATTAAAGTATTGGAGAAAAAAATAAAAATAATGTAATATGATGCAGTTTTATATAAGAAATATTACGACAAATGCAGCCACTAATTAAGCAATATTACGACAGATGCAGACAATAATACAATTAAGCAATATTACGACAGATGCAGCCACTAATAAAATAAAAATCTTTGATTGACAGTAGAACAACAAATTACTTTTGGATAGATTGTTATATGTTTAGAAACTTATCAGATAATCAATTATCTTTAAAATTTTTAATATAATGTCTTTAAATTTAATTAAGTTTGGATGAAATCGTTTTATACATAACCAAAATTAATATTTTATCATTTCAATGTATTGCATTTTTTATTGTATTACGTAGTATATTTCTCATCCGTTTACATATTCTATAAAACGTTTAGAGTAAAAGCTTAATGTGAAGAATGAAATCTCACTTTTAAAGATTAAAAATTGTGCCACTTTTTTTTAAGACTGACTCAATTTTCATTCTTTAGAGTTAGATTCCATTCCAAAAAATTTAGAGATAATTTTTACCTACCAATCACGTTCTCCATTGTAATTATTTTTATGTTATCAACATTCATCAGATATTGGTAGCTAAAACTCTAATTTCTATTGCACAATTTTAATATTATCAGCACTACTTATCTTTGCACAATTTTAAAAATTTTGTAAAAAACTATGATTTATCAGGTTAGGGAAATCAAGTCAGTTTCAAGGAAAGTCAGATAATATGACAAAATCGTTTTGTGATACTTGACTAGGATTAAAAGACTGTAGCAAACCAGTTTATTCAAACTTAGATACAGATGAAGAATAAGAATGTTCATATGCAAGAAATATTTTTTTCTTATTATTATATGTACAATACATTCTTTATGCTCTTACTTTCAAATGTTTCTAATTAAATGAGAGAAAGCCTATATTCGATCTCGTTTCTAATGTATATTGTTTGTATTTCCTTTTACATATCAGATCTCTTGAATCCATAATTTTTATTATACTTGTAAATCACTAAAATAATAATGAGATTGCATTATTCTTCTAAATAAGATAGACAAAATAATTTATTATTGTGTATTAAATATTTGTGTGTGTCGTTATGAAGGTAAGGTTCAGTTATTTCTTTTATTTTATCTTCATTGTTAATCTTTTTCTTCAGATATTTCATTTTTTAATTTTGAAAAGAACAACTTTTTTTTACTTTAAATACAATTATAGTTTAATAATTTTGATTACGAGTCGTGTGGATTTAAAATGAAAATGCACACAAATATGTTTTGGAATATGGATTAAATGGATTAATTAATGATCTTAAATATAACAACAGAACTATAAATATTAGTCGAAGAATGAAAAACATTACAAATTATGTCACAAATAAATTCCAAATGCAAATAGCGATTAAAGTAATTGTTGAATTCATTATCGTACTGAAAAAATACGTTACCACAAAAATTATAAAATACCAAAATTAGCGCTATTATAATTTTATAACCGACGAAGTAATGGTAACATATAACAAGTAACACGTTTCTTAACCTGAGATTTACATTCAATACGATGTAATAATCCACTCACAAGCCTGGAAGACGATTTTATTTAATGCGAGTTTGTGAGAAATTGCGTGTACGGATCTCTCGCTGAAATTCCATCCTTCTTCATGTGACTTCTTGCAGCGTCTTCTCAACACCGACCGTGGCGAAAACTAAAGGAAGAATGTGAGGGAACGTTACATATATATAGTATGGACGGTTTAAGTAAAAAAATATATTTTTTTATTTAACTGAACGGGTATTTGTACATCAAAGTTAACATGTGTGATATTATTCGTCTTTTGTATCAAATATAATACAAACAATGTAATAAAAATGTAGAATCGATGTCGATTCGATGTCGA